GAGACAGAGAGAGAGATAGAGAGAGAGAAGTGAAGGGAAAGATCATGTACCTGTGGTTAGCTTCGGGATGTTTTCTTGTCTGATTTTATAAAACAGTCATCTATTGAGGTTTTGAAAAATGTTGGGGAAGTGGACGATTTGGTCATTTTGGCGGGCGGTGAGACTTACACGGGTAGTGAAAGGTATTATTTAAAGGAAGGTACAACTGAAATTTCCGTCTCTTTAGATTTGCTATTTAAAGAATGTCTTGCATTATCACTGTTTTCAGCATGTTCTTAGAAAAAGTTAGATATTTGAATGCTATGAAAGTTTCACTCATCGACAACACTGAGATATTCATTACGTAACAGCCATATGAAAATTTTGAAAATTAAAAATATCCTAAGGTTTTTTCATTTTTCAATCAATTTTTTTTTGTTATTTGGTAAGATCAGCAAGTACTACAATACAAAACTTATTGTCAGCAAAAAAAAAGAAGCAAATTTCAGTTCGATTTTTAAACAGCTTTTTCTGTGTGCTATATAAAAAAACGCAAAAACTTCAATGGGGATGGTATTGAAATAATTCATCCCCATAATACTTTTTAAAGAGACTATGCTTATAAGATGTTGACAAAAACTTCAACTGAAGAGAGGAAATGAAAATCTCCCCAAAGAAGAACAACCAGCATACCTAGGAGTCAAACTTAACCAAAGTCTGACCATGAAAAGCCAAGTGGAGAGCATAAAGAACAAGACGAAAAGAAGACTCCAACTTTTAAAGAAACTCGCAAGCAGTTCGAGGGGATCAGACAAACAAACTCTGAGAGCTCTAAATCTATACCTTGGTTATGTACAATCTTCGCTGGAATACAGCAATAACCTGCTCACTAAGTGTAGTACAACTACTTGCAGTACCCTTGACAAGGTCTAAAATAATACCCTTCGTTTCATAAACATGGCATGAGATTTACACCTACTGCAGCATGTGAATTTTTTTTAAATATTGAACCCCTGAGAGTTCACAGAGATAAAGCAGTTTTAGAGCTCCATGAAAGAACCAAAAGAATGTACCCCAACCACCCAAACTGGATATTAATAGCAACATGGAAACCAAAGAAACGACTTCAACAAAAAATCAATCATGCATCGCATCACAGAACTAATGGAGAGTCACCATCTACCACAAAACAGAAGAGAAGCCAAAAGAGTCAACCAAAACATCCCTCCCCACATTTCTATGGAAAAGCCAACCATTACTACATCTCTCAGAGACAATAGCACAAAATCTTCAGATCCAGTGACGTTGATGCTTGCATCACATCAAACAATCGACAGCTATTCAGATGACTGGATGTACGTCTATACAGACGGCTCTGCATTCAAAAGCACAACCAAAACCGGATATGGAATACTAATACTAATACAGTACCCTGATGGAAGTTCCAATGAGATCTCTGCAGCCTGTGGAGAGAAATGCAATAACTACGATACAGAAATGATAGCAATTGAAATAGCACTATACCATCTCCGCATAGTTTTTGACACTCATCGAAACAGGACGCAGAGTAAAGTGATTTTCACTGACTCACTATCAGTCTAGCAAGCGATAGAAAATGACCATCATCTAAACGAAGACTTGACACATATACTGTTTGGCTCCCATCACCTGAAAACATCCTGTGGCGTCAACCTGGTGATGCAGTAGATTCCCGGACACTCACACATACCTGGAAATGACAGCGCAGACACACTCGCCAAAACGGGATCTAGACAGGAACAACCCAACATTCTACATTTATACAACACTGCAAAACAAATCACTAAAAATAACAGCAAACAAGATTAGATGAATAGATGGGCCTTGGGAAAGACAGGCAGAGCAGTTTTCAAATAATATGACCACAACAAAACGAAATTACAATGTCAACAACCCACAGAGAAAGAAACAGTCCACGATCTTCCGCCTACGAACAGAACACAATATACAGCTCAATTTTCACTTGAACAGAATAAATCCAGAACTTCCCCCAATGTATCCCTTGTGTGACTATGCATATGAGACTGTGGAACATCACTTTGTCCACTGTACAGCCCTAAATTACATCAGAGCTACACTTCTCCCCCGAGACCTAACATTGACAACATACTCTACGGAACATTACAGCAACTGCAACGAGCCTGCACTTATTACTACATGGCATTGGACAGAAGGGCACAGCTGTTGCTGGATCGATAACAACAACAACAACAGAAGATGTAGACAAAATATTTGCAATATGGTTTTTAAGACATCATGTGAAATTTGAACCTTTTTTGTTTTAAAATGTGGATGCCTTGGTATTTTTAGTATTAAAATCTTACGAAATGTTCACGTCATCCTTTAAAGGGTGTGAAAGAAAAGCAACCTTCACATAATATTCTTCTCGGTTGCCCAGTAATTATGGTTCTATCCATTTAAATCCATATCTATTACCCTCAATTACGCTGAAGACAGTAATGACTGCAAACGTTGCCTAATTTTTGTTGCACCTTCCCTGCCCCGCAAGGAAATACATGACGGTGAGTCGTGGGCAGTGGGCAGTAAACAAAATGTTAGCCTCTTAACCCTATACGTACGCCCTGGGGTCATTTTGTACCTCCGAGGTTTTATTCTTCACATTTTACAATACTTCTAGTAAAATGATCTCTTTGAAACTTTCAGTATTTCTCAAAAAATCATTTTGACAGACTGCTATGTAAAACGTACGGATCGGTTAACAAGCACATTTCCTCTTTGGAAGTGGTGGTACAGAGTTCCCCACGTCGTATGGATACGATAGTAAAACACGACGTACGGATAGGGTTAAAGGTAGTAAAAGAGGGCGCTGGCTATAAAAGGTTGACAAGCACAGCCATAAAGCAACACCCCCTTATTCCAGCCAAGCTTCAGACTACATTGACACCGGGGGCTCTCGTGGCCTAGAGGTTAAGGTGTTGGCCTCTCATTCAAAGGTCCCGGGTTCGAATCCGGGTAGCGACCGAAAACTTTTCTTCTCTAAAATTGTCTCCTTTCACCTCCTTTCCTGCTCTCTAGCAATGTTCTGTTGTCTGCTTTCATTTCCCTTTCTGCCCCCACCCACTCACCTCCTTTGCCCCCTCCTCTGGGCTCCTGACTCTTTCTGCAGCCTTTCTACTGCTACTCCTGGATTCCTCCTTACTGCTGTCTTTCAGCCACACCCCTGATCTTCTGGTAGGAAAGATCTACACCTAGCCTTCTCGGACAAGGGCGAAAAATCTCGGAGGGCCTGTGTGCAAGTTGCGCACGTTAAAGATCCCTTGGTGGTTGAAAATCGATAAGAGTAGGCTTCGGCCGCCACCCGGGCAAAATTCAAAATTTCCTACCAACTGAAAATATCAGGTGTGTCCCGCGCGCTCATATGACCTTATGCAGTTGCGAGCGCCGTAAAACACTTTACAAAAATAAACAAACAAACATTGACACCATTACCGATCAACCAATTGACACCACACTTTCTATCAAAACTTGATTCCATCAAGTAAATGTATAGGTAGGAAATGACCCTTTTTTTTAAATGTAAAGAATAAAAAAGATGTTCTTTCCATAAAATGACTAAGCTTTATGGATCATCTTATATATAGGGCACTTTTTTTTAGACATTCCTATCTTTTCCCTTGCATGGTTTAATTTCAACCACTCTCACGGTGGGATTGTACCCGTTTTCTGTCTGGTTTCATTAACACCAAAGAAGGTCATTTAATTACTCTATCGAGCAGGACTGACACCTAGCCGATTATAGAATTAATGTAAAAATGGAATTCCCCTGCTTCTCTACCGGGGTTTTTATTTGAAGCCGTGATAGAGCTGAAATTAATAATACTATGGAGGCTATTTTGCATGGCGCTGCTTTTGTTTGCATTTCATTGCGACTGAGAGAATTCATGCGCAGACAGGTAAGATGGCGTTGTTGCGAGTAATATCTTAAAACTCCGACATAATTATTACTAGGCTATAACGGGAGTGCTGTTAGCTGAATTGGTGTCACCACGTTTGTTTACGGAGCAGTTCGAATCCCCTAAGGAGCATTCTTGAACTTGGGTTGCTTAACGAGTTTGTAAGGTTCACCCCCCCCCCCCCTTTTGGGGGGCCTGAATTATGGGAGATGAACAATTAATTCGCAGGTCCCTCCTTATAGCTTCATCATCATCATCCGGTGCCTTGCCGACTGGCGTGGGCGATCATGGACCTCCACTTCACTCTGTCTTGCGTTTCAGAAATGGTGTCTGTTGTTCTTGCTGCGCCTAGCCTTGTTGTCATCTTGTCCAGTATCTTTTCCCTCTGTCTGCCTCTGCCTCTCTTTCCATCAAACTTGCCTGTTGATACAATATTCTCCAATGTTTCTTTCCGCATTGTGTGTCCAAAGATATTTGCCTGCCGCTTTCTTATATTCGTCATAATATTAAGCTGTCTTCTACAATTTGCTTCAACCAAGAGTTCTTCATTTGTTTTTCTAGCTGTCCATAGGATACGTAGCATGTGTCTTATGAACCACAACTCTGTCGCCACAATTGTTCTTTCCAGCTGTTTATTGATTGTCCATGCTTCGCATCCGTATAATAGGTTTGGCTCTATGTAACTTTTCAGTACTCTTTTTCTGGTTTCCAGTGACAAATTGATGTTTGTTAGTATGTTTCATTTTGTGGAAAGTTGCTTTTGCTTGGCAAATGCGGCTTTTAATTTCGGTGTGACATCTCCCATCTGATGATAAAATGGTCCCCAAATATTTAAAATGCTGTACTTGCTAGAGGGTGGTATCATTGATTTTGATATTGCATGTTTGGGTTTGAGTTTTTCTGCTTAGCACCATTGTTTCGGTTTTCTTGATGTTTAGGCTTAAGCCCATGTTGTCGCTCTCTTGTACGATGACACTTAATAGATTCTGTAGGTGTTCTTCATCTTCTGATATTAGGACTGTGTCGTTTGCATATCTTAGATTGTTTATATTATGTCTTATAACTTACCTATGTTCAAAAGCATGCTTTCGCTAAACTGATATATCGTACACAAATTCGAATAGCCAAGCCACCCCTACCCCTTTCTCTTTTATAAGATGATTAAATCAATGTCGGCAATGTGTTTTCCTGTGGCCATTGAAAACGAATCATAATTTGGATGTCACGTCCCAGAATGTACCCCGCGTACCCTCTTATAGCGACGGTCATGCTGTTGAATAAAGGAGACTGCCAGTTTTGTTCTAGGAGTGTGCTAGCGTGGCAGATAGTTTGTTTTGTTTGTTTTATTTTTTAAAATATTTTACGGCGCTCGCAATTGCATGCAGTCATATGAGCGCGCGGGACACATTAAACATGTTCATATTAAATTTTGAATTTTTCCTGGGTGGCGGCCGAAACGTACCCTTATCGGATTTAGGACCGCTAAGAGATCATTAATGTGTGCAACTTTCACACGGAACTTCCGAGATTTTTCTTCCTAATCCGAGATCAAGGGTGTGGATGAAAGACAGCATAAGAAGGAGCCAAGGAGTAGCAGTAGAAAGGCCGCAGAAAGAGTCAGCTGGAGCCCAGAGGACGGTGCAAAGGAGAGTGGGGGAGGGGGGGGGGGGAAAGCGT